GTTTCTGAAGTATGAGAAGTTTTTATTCATACGAAATTTATACACGTTTTGTAGGATTTTATGAGATATATTTTATGACAAAGACTCTTAATAAATACATCATGAGAACTTTTTATAGAGTCTCAGAGGAAACCTAATATTGTAACCAGTAAAAGATTGAGTAAATAATATTGATAGTTTCATATGGACTACACAAAAGACACGAAATCTGCCTGTTTGGCGGTACACCTGATCATACACTTTTACCTTAGAAGGAGGCTAAAACTAAGAACATCAGTCATTAGACCCGATAACTAGTGTGTGTTGGTTATATGTAACCAATAAATATACATACCATTTGGTCTAGTGCTTGTTGACAATTTTCAGTAGAGTGCATCTAGCAACCCTGAGAAATCTGTTGCCTTTTTAGTGATCTGAACCCGTAAGTAACTGATACTGTCAGCAAAGTCGCTAATATTGAGCTTGACTGATTTAAAACAAATAATCAGTGGACAGCTTTTCAGCAAATTCATTCTGCAAACTGTAGTAGTGATGAATTTATATAATTTGTTAGCGCCTATTTTGCGTCTGAAAGTTGATTTGTTTGGAAAGCATTCCAAAAAGTAAAAATAAACTCTAACACTCAGGATATAATTCTAATTATGAGATAATCGAAAATGTTGCAAAGTCAAAAGTCAATCGAATTGTAACAAACTAATAAGTTTGGAAAAGTTGTGTAAAATGAAATAGGAAGATGGTCAAAATGGACCTACTAAAGAGTGGAGTGCTTTCAAAGACCAGTGGTTAAAGATATGAAACAGATTGATCGATGCTAGGAGTACAAAAGCGTGTAGCCTTAAAAATCTTTTTTTCTTTTTAAGTTGCTTTGAGTCAGACGTTTTCGGTACTCGATGTTAATAAAGATTATGAGAAAACTACTGAACTTCAGCACTCGGTGATACACAGTATATATCTCCAAGGTGTCATAAGTTCTCTTAAGCCTATAATTGTACCTCGAAGATAAGTACTGTAAAACATAAAATCAAGATCCAGAACTTCTTGTAAAGTGTCTCTTGACATCTAACACCAGAACAGAGTGCATAGCTGTGTCATTTTGCTTCTCTAACTAATCACAGCTTTGCTTAGTGCTGAACCATAAAAGGCTAAACAGCTAACTCTATTTTCAACCGATTACCGATTTGGATGGTGGGAATTATTTTGAAGTCTTATCGGTAATATCCAAATCATTTTATGTAAGAAATTTCTCATTAAGTCATTTTTCACAAACTACCATTGATAGTCAAACACAACATAGGTGGCCACCCAAAACCGCATAAATGTAAGGCTACTTAGCTTTGAGAATAAAAAACTAAAAAGAATGATTTTTGCTTGACTACTACTGCTATTACTACTTCTGTTATGTCACTAGAAGGTAAACAATTTCTTTGTTGTCTGCTACTAATTGTTGGGTGTTTTTTGTCAGTAAAGTGTGCAATCTGATCTCACACTATTGTGTCTTATGCTACAGGTTCAGATCTATCAGAAGTTATCTTTTCCAATAATAAAAGAGTAAAACTTGTTCACTGTAGTAGAATGCAATCCCATTATGGCAAATTTATCAGATAAGTCACACTGTTACAGTACTGTTTACTGGTTTACGTTGAAGACATAATTTATTGCCTATAGTCATATCAAGATATTAATATGGCTATAGACAATAAGTCATGTCCGAAACGTAATTCAGTAAACGGTACTGTTAGACTGCATGATAAATCTAATAAATCAATTAAAAATAGTATCAGTCCCTTTAGAGTTGCAGATAATCATTTCTTCTGAACCCCAACAAACATGAAACTCAAGTGAATAGCTCTCTGGTGATCGTCTTCAGTTTCCTCATTTCAAATCAAGTGTACAGCATGTGTGAACCTTTTAGCTAACAAATTATACTGCAAACTTGTCTGGTCAATATTTGAATCTAGACAGCATGGGATTGGTTATACTACAGAGATAAAGCAATTTAACTCGTCGAGAAAAATTTAATACGTCACACATCGTCATTGTTGCTGAGTGTTTTTCTCTAAATTATACTTTACATAGAAACTTTATTGCTTTCCATTTGAAACATACGTTTGTTCCATCCACTTTAGCATTTTCAATGAAAACTTTAATCAGCGAGCGAATCAAACGTTTGTACTGCTACCAACTTTATTCAAGGGAACTAACCATAACCATGTAGCGAAAGAAATTATGCTTTCCTTCAACTGGTCAAGAATACCGACTCGGTACTGCTTTACAGTAGCCTTTTTAGCTATAATTAGGCCCAGTGGAAACAACGATTATGAATCTGAATGTTTTATTCTACAGGTGTGCGACTTGTGGAAACCAGCAAAGTTAAATGATGATAGAAGGTAAACTCCTCTGAACAAAGTGTTTAGTACAATATATCTTTAACACACTTTAGCTGGATAGAGTAAAAGTTAGTGACTAGTCATGTATATTTAGCCTCTCAGTGTAACATAAACAGTCTCCACACTACAGTCCACTCTGTGAAATAAGTGTATCCGACTGTTTAAAACTGTGTGCATCAATTGACGGTTTCATGAATCACTTAAAGGAGGCAAAGATCATTTGAATCTATAAAAGAGGTAGTATTTTTTTGCATATTTTGCTCACTTTCCATTTGCTCTGAATTGTAATAATTCAACATAATAATAATGTTTTTTTGTGTAGTGTTGAAAGAACCATGTATCTCTAAACCAATAACCCTATTATTTGTTTTTCAACTGTAGTCATATAGTGCAGTGATCTGGTTGTGAATATCACTCGCTCAAAAAGTCATGATGTGTATGCGAAGCAGTGCTACAGTAACCTTCACCTCACCCTACTGATATGCATAATTTAAGCTTAATTTTTAAAAGGTTAAACATTCACTGTCGATATGGACAGCATTATATGGAAAAAAATTGCATAACAAATTATCTTTGATAATCATTCTAAAGGTATTGATAGCCTAGATTCGATTGCTTGTACTTATTTGCATGGTATCTGTAACTGAATATGTACTGTTTTTCGCCAGCTGATATATAGGCATATAACTAACATCCCAACATACTCTGATAGTCTTCTGAGCATGAATTTTTAATTTTTTAAAGCAGGATTTCGAGTCATAGCTTCAGAACTGCACTGTTAAACATGAAAATACATTAGCTGTGTGCAAGTATATAACGGAAATGATAGTGGAAAGACAACGAACTGCTTTCATGCTAGTGATCAAGTTTAAAATATGCATCTGATATATGAAGGATACTGTAAGTGCTATTTAAAGGTGAAAATATGATGAAATCAGATTTATGACAAGAAGTATTGGTCAATAACTCTTCCATTTTATGTACTGTAATTGGAACCTGATCATTATCAGTTAAATCGCATTAAAATCTATTGGTCTTTGCAAAATTCCTAATTTGGTAGCACAAGTGCACACCCTTAATGATCCATTCGCAAAGTCTTTCAGTAGAAACCTGCAAATCCACATGGAATTTTGATTCTATATTCAATTTTCCTATTTGATACATTGCGCATGGTGATACTGTATTAATTAATGCATAACTTTTACAGCACAATTTCTCATAACCATATGAAGGCATTAACATGACTTTCTGACTCACCTATTCTATAGTTCTAGTGCTTTGTATCCTTTCTAACTTATTGTCTATATTATTTTCTAAATATATCTAGTCAGTCTTATTATACTTTGTAGGCGTTGAGTTGGTGAAAAAAGATTTAATGATCAACTTTCTCTTCCACTCAACCACATTAGCCTCTATGGCTATTGCTTTGTAAATGATATTGTATCTCTGTGTGCTATATCAAAGGGATCGAACTGATCTAAAATTACTTTTAACCAGAGCGCTAAAATTCAAAGTTTTTAAACATCCACTTTTGCTGTTTACGAAGTTATCTCCTACACTTCCTCCTTGCTCAGACTCCTTCAATTTCTTAACGTATAGGCTACGAAACACCAGCTAACTAAATAAATCACTTTGGTTCAACGATAATATCAGGTTATGGAAGGACATGTGCTAGTTTATGAGATAATAAACTACTGATATGATATAAAGACTGTCACAATTATCTATCTGAATCAAGGAAATACACAGTTGCCTACTGACTATGTAAAATGACTGGTTGATAGCTTTAAGATATCCACTAATGTGACTCCAAGAACTAAAGGTTATTTTTTCGACGAAAATCACCATTACTGTATACAGCAAAGGTGTCTTGACTATTTAGTGTAGACGAATTCATGTTCATCTTATTCTTTTGGGACTTTAATCCCTCGCGACTATCAAAGCTTCGAATCAAGGAATGTTTTAGGCTTCACGTGTGTTATTTAATGAAGTTTCTAATGAAGACCACTAATTTCGACCGAATACCACCTAGTTAACAGAATCTATGTTGTCTTTAGTAACTAAAACTATTTTTTTGGTAAACGGAAATATAATGAAGACCGTGTGACTCCAAAAGTATTATTAGATAAAAACAATTCACTAAGGGAGGAGACAAAAATCTCGGGGTACTCAGAAAGTACGGATACTTGACCACTATATAAGTAACCAGTTTTTTTCTGTAGCCATGATAGGTGATCGGTTATCAAAATATGTTTTTCAACTTGAGAGAGCCTATGATTACATTAATCTCTAAATCTAGTCCATCCAACACTTCATTGGGACGTAAAATCACTGATGTACCTGGGATCACTGTTTCTTGTATGAACTTGTCGGCATTAAAAGCTTTTCTAAAATCTGATAATAATCTCTTCATAACCCTTCTGTATCATTAGCTTCCTCTCTGATTTTTGAAGTAAGTAGAACTGTCACTTTGTCAAGATGAAAACTTCTAACCTACTAGAAAGTTACTCGCAAAAATATTCACTCCTCTATGATTGTTACTCAAATAAAAAGCGTTCGGCACCTACTCACCACACTATGAAAAGTCAGCATATAAAGGTAAACGTAACTTACTTGTTCCTTCAAAAAATTGCATAATTCTTTTTGTGACTGATATTTTTCTGCTTTATTACGCTTTTCATTTGATGATTCTACGATTTGCAATAGAGTTGCTTGAATACGAATGCTCAAGTCATCACGTGACTTTTTCCACATACGATTTATTGTTATAGCACGATCTCTGAGATGACTTTCATGGTCACAGTGGTTCAATAAATCGGTCTGATGTTAATCGTTGTAACATGATTGAAGGAGAAGCAGATTTAAACGTAGAATAAAGCAAATAAATAGGAGTGTGTTTACAAGACCTAGAGTTCATGATTATAATGATGCATATAGTAGAAACCTAAGTAAAAACTCCTAACTGTAATCAGACCTTAGAAACTAAAATTCTCAAACTTCAATTTAATACATGATTGATGCTATCAAGTGCATCATGAATGCAACAGTAAAAGTTATGCAATATAGTCTGCTCAAGAAGCAAATGGCAGTTGGAAATTAACTAGGCATTGACAATTGGTTAGATGAAGATGATGTAAGTCCTCAACACTTGATGCCTTAACTTGCAGACAAGTTTGTCAGCTATGCATCAGAAGTGATTCATTCCAAATGGTTGAATGGTTCAAACTACTCCAAAAGGAAGAATAAGAATTGCAAATTTAAGGTATTCTTAAACCATCCGTAAATTTATTTTAAACAACTAGTAGAGTGACAGAGCAGCACTATATTTTTAAGATCAGAACATCAAAGGTAGCCATTATTCATACATTTGCTTAACTTTATGGTTATTAATACTGTTATTCTTTTAAGAAAGATGCATCCACGAGTCATTGTGTGTTACTATCGTAATATGACGTCCTATTCATTGTTTATGTCATAAGAACCAGAGACTTCTTGTCAAATAACTCAGTTCCAAAGAATGATGATTATCCTCAACTCAAAAGAGTGCAAGTCTTGTTTGCTTCGAAGTCAAAATCACTTTGAACATCAGGAATAAATGAACAAACGTTTATATTTTATTTGAAATAACCCCAACAACATTTACTTACAGCATTTTTCATAGTCGCAAATAATAGCCTAACCACTACAGCAAGCCCATAAGCTTCACAAATAACGAGTGTCGTTCCAAGACCTGTTATTTAACACTTCATGTTTGACATTTTGAAATTTTGTAAGGATGATTTTCCAAGGAACAGTTAGACCATAGTAATAATCCCTACTAGCAGTGGAATCGTGAGTAATCTAAATAATAGACATAGAGGTGAACAAACTAACAAGAAACTTCACCCCACACTGGTTTAGTCCGAATTTGCAACTCCTCTCTGTGAAGCGCAAACAGAAGAAGTACAAATTTTCATGGGAATCTTTAGATTGAATAAGTTTTACTACGTTTTTAGTGCATTCAAAATTCATACACAGTTGTGGTATTCTACATGTAGAAAGAAACACACTCAAAACAGTGATCAGCCAGTCTTAGATTAAGCGAATAAAATCGAGACGAGCAATAGATAGTTGGTAGTTGTCCTGAGACTATAATCTAGATTCACTTTATAAACTCATTATTGTCTTGTAAAGAAATTCACGAAAAACACTAACTATCTACGCTACTAAGACTTTATTCTGAAATATTGATATTTGAAGTTAATGCACAGTATTATTTCGTATTCCATAAGTTCATTAATTACAGCGCTAAGCAATACAGTGTTACTTATTGGATGACGTTTTGAGCAAGAATTATCACTTGTAATCATAATAATACCTTGCAATACATTCAGACTTCCTTTTTACAGTCTAGGCGTTTCTTATTACTTAACTCCTACTTGATGTATCCTTTTTGAATATCTGTAATCTGTAATAAATCATTACTGCTGCATTTGTTAGGCATTGATTCGATGAACAAAAATCTGGTAATCACACTTTCCTTCCACCCAACTATATCACATTTAGAAGTGTCACACTGTAGTACCCAAGAGTATCATTATTTGTCAGAACATGATTAAACGACAGCCCAATTTTACTGGTGATTACTTCTTTCAGTAGAGTTTAGCATTCAGTATTCCACTAAATTTTGTGTTCTGATATCTTGACTGAATTTGATACGCAGTTTGAACATCTATCCTTCAACTCACAACCACTGCATATATTCGCAAATTAGGTTTTCATCAGATTGTATCAATGAATTCTGGAGGCCGATAAAAACCGCTGTAATTTTCATGAATGTGTACGTGTTCGTAAATACCAAAGTTATTTACAGAATTCAATCACTTTTAAGTTGACCGTATTTTGGACTCAACAGGAAAATGCCATAAGTAATATTCCACTCAATAACAGAAATAGAAATGCAGATACATAAACAAAGAGAATGATATGAGTTAAGACTGTGAGATACATTTAAAAGCACTAAAGCATTCAGAATTCGTAGAATAACAAAGTGTGAGTGCACAACCTCACGATAGTGAATCTTCGACCATGGTCCATGAGTTTTACAACTATTCATCCCCAAACATTCAGGCTACTTAATAGAGAAACATGCACACTAATCCACATCTGAAATCAGTAGTCAATGAGTCTATACACCGGTGCAATTGTTTCATTTGCACATTCTTTCAAATTAGCCTGCCGCTTCAGACTGCATTCCACTTCATAAACTGCAAAGTAAGTCACTGTGGAGTTTGGTGAAAGAGTGTGAGAGAGGATATGTTTGGTGGACTTGTGGTAATTTAATAAGAGTAATGACTAGATTTGAAAGATAGAGTTGGGTCAAAACAGAAGTTAAACCTATATCATGGAGGTCTGAGTGAAGGTCTTGTTTCAAATTCCTGAACTGGTAAGAATGTTGTATAGAATTTCTAGTGAAGATACTGTGGATGTGATGTGGTGATGTAACTTCTAGGTGTCTGATCGAATGTGAGGGCTACTTGTTAACACTGTTACCTAAATTGACATCTTACTTTTATTTGATTTTATAATTCAGAATAAATTTTCTACCTACTTGATTCCCCAAATCGTAAGTGAATTAAATTTTGTCTACCAGTGTATTTATGTGCAAAGAAACCTCTGGATGCCTTCTTATTTCAAAACAATAAATATGCTAACCATATCCAAAGAAGGAAAAAAGGAACAACTGTGAAAATGAAATTTTCCACTGTTCACATCCTACATATTATCGTGTAAGCTAAGTGTGACATTCCAGATTGGAAATAATGCAATAACTGAAGTTGTGCTCAAGATTACTCATTTTAAGCACTTGTTAAACGGAATAATGACCATAAACAGTCACACTTCATAAGGCTCATGCAGCAAATAAGCAGATATTAGTGGTAAAACTTTTCATTCAAAATATTGCCTACTTAAAGTAGTGTAACAAGCTTCACTGAAATTTATTGCAGAAATTAAAAGTTTTATGTTTGTGGTAGCTGTGATCGCCATTTAAACTAAGGCCTCACTTTTTAGAAGCTTAAATGATCTGATAAAGTTCCTGAAACTACATTTTTTTTCTATATACTTACATGATAGAATGACCTTTGCATCTGTTTACTTAGTAAACATGTTTGTTTGTACAGTTTGATGATCCATCTAGACTCTTTCCATAGTTACACTCCATTAGCAAGTATACTTAGAATAGTAATGATGCATTTCCGGGGAAAGATAATCGATACAACCAAGTTCTTAGGTTATCAGTCTATCTTTCTACCAAGTGAGATACGAAACCCGATTGATGTATTATTTTTAAGATAGCTGTGCAAAACTTTCGATGACAGAAATGAAATCCAAACTCATTCTGTGCGTGGATATTTTAGTTCACCTAGTTGAATATCCGAGTAGCGACCTAGATGTCATAGGTTTGACCTCTGTTTTGACCCAACTCTATCTTTCAAATCTAGTCATTACTCTTATTAAATTACCACAAGTCCACCAAACATATCCTCTCTCACACTCTTTCACCAAACTCCACAGTGACTTACTTTGCAGTTTATGAAGTGGAATGCAGTCTGAAGCGGCAGGCTAATTTGAAAGAATGTGCAAATGAAACAATTGCACCGGTGTATAGACTCATTGACTACTGATTTCAGATGTGGATTAGTGTGCATGTTTCTCTATTAAGTAGCCTGAATGTTTGGGGATGAATAGTTGTAAAACTCATGGACCATGGTCGAAGATTCACTATCGTGAGGTTGTGCACTCACACTTTGTTATTCTACGAATTCTGAATGCTTTAGTGCTTTTAAATGTATCTCTCGGTCCTAACTCTGCTAGTTAATCAGATATTACTTACAATATTTTCTTTGTGAGTCCAAAATGCAGTCAACTAAAAGATTATTGAATTCAGTTAATAACTTCGGAGTTTTGCTAACACACATATTCATTAGGTTTACGGGTTGCCTAGAATTAGGCAAATATGTGAATAACCATTAGATGTTGTAGTAATGAGTTACTGATACACTTGAAAATATTGAAAATACTGATAAGATGTAAGTTAGTAGTAATTACCTATTTCCTTTTTAGAAACGATCATCTCGATGGTCTTGACTTCTGACCTCTAGCTTTAATGAAATCCACCATGAATATGTGAGTGCATAACATCCTGAAACAATGTACGCATTCAAACATTTTACAGTGTGTCTGAAACACTGAACAGCTAGGTTACTTGTTTCACTGATTAAGCCACATCTCATAGCCAGTAGACTTAAGTAGGCTTCATTTATCATGAAATTAAACCACAAACAGTTTAAAAAAGCTATTCGTACATGTAAAAACTAAAAGGACTTGTTATCGTCAAACAGATTATCCAAATGCACATATTTTTCTCTCTTCATATATGCATTCACCTTCAATGCTATTAAAACAGGGTCTGAAAGAACACTTAAATGAACTTGATATCCAACTACTCTTTTTTCATTCAGTAGTCAATGACTGAAACTTCTAGTCAGTAGCAGTAATGATAAATCCTTTGGTAACTTTATTCAAGAAGAAATCAGATTGTTAAAGACGCTATAAGGATTAAAATGTACCAGATATTCTACTTTAACTTTGAAATACTTAAACGATTATTGTTAATTTATATCACAGGTGGTAAAATGTCTTCCAAGATTTCGTTAGAAAAAGAAATAAAACATGATTAATGAGCAGTATGAATATGGCAACTTTTTAAATGATGTGTGCAACACCAATGTTCATTTAATCAGTAGTCAATTCTGGATTTTGATTACTTGTAAACGATAAATATGCATTAGAGAGGATTTTCAATAAGAAAGGAAATCAATAAGGATTAAGATTCCCTAATAATTAACTTGAAAAAGTAACTGACACCCAGTTGCATACTAAAATAAGAATAGACAAGTGAAGAAGAATAATAAATGTCTGAAAAACCATTTTACTTACCAGTTCTTTGTTACTGTGTTTAGGAAATAGGCGTGATAAGAAGTCTAGTGTATAATGACGTCTTTGATATATCAAATGTCGTTTATATACATCCCAAATATATTCAAATAATTCCAATTCATTTAAACTCCAAAGCTGTAGACTAATAAAGATGATAGTACATAAAATGGTAAAAGGAATATTTCCTGTAATATAATGAAATTTAATCACTGGTGCATTCACATTATATCAAGATTTAGTAAGACTTGTCTGTGCAATGTGTTGTAAAAATACATATAATTAGACTTTGAGAAAAGCTATGGGAACTGATGGTTTATCCACTGATGCTTGGTGAACTACTATTTCAGCAAATAAGTGATGGATGTCCATGTTGACTTGTTCTGTAACCAGTTGAGAGGTAACAATATTGAAGTGTTATCCAATAATGAGAACCCCCTTCAACCTGATAGCCACCTTAAAGCTACCAAACTAAACTACAATGAGTAATGACAGGAGGTAAAACTTTTGAAATCCCGAAGAAAAGGTATAGTATTTCGGATCATTTGTGAAAAAAACAGGTAGAAGATGTAGAATATGACTACCTTAAAAGCTGAGAGTCTTTCATTAGCGTAAACGACTTATTCCTGGATAGTGCAGTATCAAATTTAAGGTTGATGAAGTTATTTGATTATTTTTGACCCTCATGGTTATTCAGCAGTATTGACTATTTTGATTCAATCGTCAGTTTTTTCTGATATTCATCAAAAAGGCATATATACTCCTCAACGAGACTTACTGGCCGGTAAAAACCTGAACCAACTCTGTTCAGTACTTAATTCAAACAGTCTACCTTTAGGCTAATAATATCATCACACTTAAAAGTAATAAAAGCTTCGTGATTCCACAAAAAATTAAGTTTGCTGCATATTTATTTAATTTTACTTCTGTCAAAAGATTCCTTTTGAATAAGGAAAGAAAGTAAACCCTAATCAAATTATGATTTTCCTTGAAGTTAGATTAAATTGGAGAAGGACTAAAGGTGATTTAACGAAGATAATACACCAATCTATGAAGCAACTATTATATGCTGTTTTGAACCATGTATTGAAGTTAAACAATACTTGTTTATGTCACTTACTGTATAGTTTTCAGAAATCAGTACTCTCTGTTACTGCCCATTGAAATTCTATAATACAGATATTTTGCTGACTAAAGAACCTGGACTTTTATGGCTTTCATAGTCCAATATAGTTCGAATTGACGTTGGAATTCTGGGTTACAAAACAATCAACTGTAACATATAGGTGGCTTCATCAAAGCCGTAGGAACCTATGATTGGAATGTCTAAGTGATATAAACTAATGTTGATCCGAGTAGCTGATTTGAATTCACACTAAATTATCTCCAAAATTCTAACTATAAAATTAAATTAACCTACTATTCCTCACTTTTTTGATATTCTTTATTTATCTTGTTATCTTTCTACATTTTTAAGGTTTTCATTGTGATGCGACAAAATATAACCAGCTGAACTTCAGTACTTTCATGTGCAGTCTGACACTAAATTTTTATCTGACTATTATCGCTGTGTAGATTGTAACATCTGATATTCATAAGCATCTCGAAGTTTACAGAAACACATTAAGTGTTCAGCTTTTATTAGCTTAAAAATCTGTCGCCACAACACATATATTAGGGTTAATAAACAACAGAATTATCTACTTTAATCAGTTTGACCTAGTAGATTCAGTAAAACTCATATAGAGTGTATTAGTGTTGAGCTCATTTGCTGATGTACGCGAACTTTCTGAGGTATATATACTGAAAAACTGACGGATGAACTTCTATGAGGTCTTCTTCCTGTTTCTTCTTCTGTTTCCTGAAACAATTTATCGAGACTAGATAAAATCTAAATATGAGGTCAATTTAATAAAAATTTCAGAACAAGTGGATTTTTAAAACGTCACTTCTGAGGACGTTCAGCTTGACTGATTCTGCGACCAGCATGAAAAAAATAAACAAAAAAAGGGAGTGAAAACATTGAGTGCATTATTTTTACAGATAAGATCTTTTGCCATAAAAGGATGTAATTGTCCGGAGACTAAATCGTTATGGGAAGTATAGTATAATCAATGAATGTTCAAATATATCCGGGGATCGGCATTCTATATCGCGTCGACAAACTCATATTATATATGTATTATAACGTAGAAACCAAACAAGGTTATCATCTACATCCACAAAAATATTAACAGGCCTTCTACTTATTTCACTGGTGGTGTACAGCTTATAAGATTATATTAACCTTTGGGCAGTTTACATTAATCTTAAAAAGGAATGTGTAAACTAACTCGTTTGATCGAACTGATTCATATTCCTTACTAATAATTTCAAGACGATTGTAAAATTCGAAATCCATCACAACAAATTCTGACAGCATAGAAGACAAGTATTCATCGTCTGGACATTCCCAATCCCATGCATACTCAGGAATTCCCATTTCTTTAGTACTGAAGGCAAGTGATTTTCTCCTTGCTCCACCTAGAAAAATGTCGTCTGTAGAAAAACAGCAAGAAAACTATGCATTAGGTTCTACCTCCATCTTCTTGTTGCTTTAGAAGCTCGGATTCTTCATTTGATAAATTATTGCTGAGTTCTTGAAGGCAATCATGCATATTTTGAATAGCTTGTTTGACCGACGCCTGTGTTTGAATGCATTCATCTTTCACCCCACTCTCACTTAATTCTTTAGTCGTTTTCCTGGGAAAGTATGTGTAGATGATTTAATCCATAACTAACCTTAGAGAACGAATTGAATTTGAAAGCATGTTTTGAAGGTTTTTTGCCTTTAACGAGTTCTCACATGTTGTATCTTCCACAGATTCTTCTTTGAATATCCATGAATAGCAATTATTTTTTAGTAACTTTTCAATCTCGTTTTCTTCACTTTTTAACAGGGACATTTCTTTTCTCCAAGTCTTTGTATGTATTCGTAAGGTACTGTTACTTTTCATAGATTGACAAGCATTTGATAGCTCAAGAATCTTTGTTTCAATGTTCTTCGATTTATTTTTAAAGGCTTCTGTTGTCTTTTTAACTTCTTCAAGATCTAACCGTTTTACATTTCTACAGTACAACTTCCAGTCCATTTTGAAATGAAATTTGGCCGTACGATTATGTGGCAAGTGTTAAGTTAAAACCATTTTGAAAATACTGGTGTGAATAACTTTTATAATAAATTGCCATCGGAGAAATATTAATGGGTGAGCATTCTAGAGGAAAGAAGATAAAGTGAACAAGCAGTTGAATGGCATTTTCATCTGTCATGCCGAAGAGTTTCAAACAAAATTCGAAGTTAGCTGGTTAGTTCACCTTAAAGGCGGAATTCATTTTAGAACCGTATTTCATAGTGTATACCTCAATTGATGCCTCCCACAGAAGTATTGTAGTAGTAGTAGATTTCTAAACATCCAAAAGTTAATAGTTCGTCATCACCTGCAAAACACCTGACTCTTCAGAAGAGTGTTTAGTTTAAGGATAAACTTCTTGAATGCCCAGTAAGGAACAGTTCCTGAACCGAGTATTGCTACACACTAGAAATAAGGATGATATATAGGGATATATAAGAATTAACAGTGTCAAATTATTCTATAAACTGGAAATTAAACCTCAGTATTGCATGATAAGTCAAATGTTCTCTGAAGTGTTAGTCACAGGTAGCTCCTTGCATTTTGTCTATTCTTTGTTGGTGTTCATAATTACCAACAAAAGGACTAATAGTTTTTTCACCCTTGCCCACAATTTATTTACTGAACCTCTTTCTAAATAAAACTACAATCTTAGCAGACCAATAAAGATAATAAAGTTTTACAAAGTGTTAAGTTCTGATCAGTGTATGAAGCCAAATATATAAAAACTTATAAACGTTTACAACTTCGGAAACCACTTTCGTACGAATGATGCATCCAGGAAGACATCACTAACGCACTTTTTACTTTTTTGGGTAAGAATTATGCCTATATATTATCCATTCTGCTACTGAACTCCACAATTCAAGTAACGAAGATCTACGACCCGGATAGCGGTATGGCCTTTTGCTAAAACCACAGTGGTTGAGAACTTGCTGAGTAAATCCTTCATCTCAAACTACTGCGGGCAATACGTGTTTAGTTTGAAGATACATTGATTTACAAAAGAATACGGATCAAAAATTACTAAAGGATATATTCATCGAAAGTAAATAATCGGAAGCATATTCATATGGCCTTTTCTAAGCGTTGTAAGCCCACATCCTGAAATACTATGAGTGATTTCATCTTGTGTGTGATGTCTAGAATGCCCAAGAATGCTAAAAAATGGAAATCTAAAGTTGTTTTTATCTCTCTGTCTCTCAAGTTTGGTCTCTAAATTTGACATTGTTGTTGAAGTAGTAAGCAAACTGAATCAAACTGGAAAGCTGCAGTTAATAATTTTAATTTCTTACCTTATTAATCAGTTTCAGTTACTCTGTTATGTGCTTAAGTATAACTGGATAATTATTGACAAATGGAAGGACTCACAGTGACCTCAACACCAAAAGAACCGACACTATTTTAGTCAGGTTTTCATTTTATTCTTCAAAAAGTGGTGGTCAGTTTACATTTCAGCAATAAAAATAGAAACCAGTAACTTTCTAAGAAATGCAAAAGCAAACACAATTGAGGAATCATATTCAAAGTGAACTGTTAGCATTTTTAAACTTTTGGGGGAAACTACATCAAAGCGAATGCTCTATGTCAATAACAATTGATGCATGGTTCCGAAAATTATTTCTTAGTCCGTAAACATTCTATTTACATGAACGAAGATTGACAGAATGTTGGAAAACTTACAACTGACAATTCATCCAAATGGCCTGGAAGAAGCGATTGCTCAGTAATATTTGAGTAACGGTTAAAGCTAATACCTGCCCAGAGATTGGAAATCTTGTCCAGATCAGGTCCTGATTTCTGGAGGTTCCAAGAACCATCACGTACTGGGTTAAGAGGACATTTGCCGCATAAATTATATACAAAACTTCAAGCTTTACTGCTATACTTGATTACTTCAGTAATAAAAAACTGACTCAATCAGTTCCTTTTTATTTTTTAGTTAATTATCTCTATCGTAACCAGGTTTCTTCTAGAAAATATTCGAGAAACGTGCCACTAAATCCTGTTCTCTAATCCCGTATAGTCGTTGATAACTATTTCGGTAAGCTGGTACTCCACTCACATTTGACTTGAACATGATTTGGTACATTCTAAGGTAACAGTTTGAGCCGTAAGTATTAACAGAATTACAAAGTTTATATCACACGTTGTTTGAAAAAGGGAGTGGCTTTTCACGTTCAGCTAGATTCTTGGCTTTCTTGTGTTTACACATCAAATACTGTTGTATTTTTGTTCTAATCGGAATATTATTCGATTAAAGTGAGACAGGAACTTCTGCTGGGTGAATTTCTGTAGTTTCTGCTACATGGTGAGCCAAAAGTGTCACGAAGATGCTTGTGGCAGGGTAGGGTGGTCTCTGGTTTGCAGTGTAGCGAGTGTAAGAATTGGTTCCACGATAACTTCACAAGCCCCCCACCCTCAGTATACAAGGTTTACATCAACGCAGGAAGTATCTGGCTTTGAAGGTTCTGCTGCTCGGATATCCGCACTCTGGTAGAGGAGGCAAAAACACTTCTAAATGCTTTAACTAAGAAACTATCGTTGAAATTCAAAATCGATATCTAAGATAGTGATAATGACACACATAGATCGCTGTGCAGAATTTTAAGAACGTCCCACGATAAGTTCTAAGTCGGGCAAGTAGACTACCTACTAGGTTTGCTAACAGTGACTTGGAAAAAACTACATCAAGCAGAGTGAAGCGAGTGTCTTCTGGATCCCGCATTCCCAGAGCTGGCAGATCCAGTCTAAAAACTGCTGACCGTAAGACTAGATCTACTTCAGATGGAAGGAACAGGAGTGAAGCGCTCTAAGTTCCAACGACGAAACCATGCAGGCCGCAGGTCATACCTCGCATAACTGAATCTGAAAAATGACAAGTAACTAGGTCTAAACGGCATGTTGAGAAGCCAATAACAGTCATCGAACCAGCTTTAATCACTCCACAGAACAAAGACAAAGTAGAGATACTTGACAGGTCCATAATCTTCCACGAAGTGCAAGAAAGTAGAGACCCAGAACCAAGTAAACGTTTCAAACATGACTTTGGCAAGGTACACTGTTTGATAAATCAGCTTTTACCGGAAAACATGCCAGTAGTCATCCTACTCAAGATATATGGGGCAGGCAAACAGGAGACAGTCATTACTGAAAACAAGCTTCGGCTACTTAAATTAGTGTTCAAGTCAGCAGATGGGGGGGATCAGAGTCTGAAGAATGTTCACAGACTTCAAGGATCTAGAGTGTTCATGTGAAAGGATCTCCCTCTTGCCCATAGAATCAAAAAACGAGAATCAGGAGCAGAACTAAAATCCAGATTAGCAGCTGGAGAGCATAATCTAGAAGTAGCGGGTTTTCGTATAGTAAGGTTTCGGCAGCAAATGGTACCGAAGCATCCATGGATAGGACGGAAACTCATTTAAGTTGTCTCGCTACCTTGTACACAAATGCAGGTAGGCTTTTAAACAAGTGGACTGAGCTTGGTAATGTGATAAGCAACGAAAGCCCGACATCATTGCTATCTTAGAAACTTAGCTCTCTTCTTGGATCAGTGACTGTAAAACACACTTACGAGGATTCGTCTCTTTTAGAAGTGACAGGTTAGCACCCAAAGGTGGCGGTATCATCCATCACCTTAAGAATACCTTAACTATGAAAGCCATAGAAATAGTTGTACATGAAAGTGGGACATGTGAAGTGCTGCGCTGCCGAATATAATGCAGACACAAAATGTTAACCTAACCGTAACATATCACAGCGCCAAATGTGAGTCAGCGGACTCTCTTGAATAAGCTGACCCTCTGGACACATAAATACCGATGTTTAGTTGTAGAAGACGTCAATGCACCATCAGTTGACTCGGATAGACTGAAAACAAAGGCACCACGTAATTCGTTCGATAACAGGTTAGCGGAAACACCAATTTCCTCAGCCCTTATGTAGCAGATTAGGACACCAACCAGATATAGTTATCGGCATGCTCCATCAGCTCTAGACTTATTATTCTCAAACACAGATGATGTATGCCTCATCCGGCACCCAGCATCCCTCGGTAGAAGTAATCACGCTGTGATAATCTTCAGATTTACAGCAGACGTCGTATACCAGGCCAATATCCCAGCTAGACCCAACATATGGAAGGTGAATATGGAAGCTAGTAACCTGGTAGCCTCTTAGGAGGACTGGATAGTCAATCCAGAAGCCTCAGTTGAAGCTATGTGGTGCTCCTTCAAACAGCCACTATGTGCACGAGTGACCCAACCGTTCATTCCGTGGACTGTCCCGAGTTGACCAAAACATTGTCCTCCGTGGATAAACCATGAAATCCAAATCTTGCTATGACGTAAGAAAACGTTTCAGAGTTTTGTCACCCACCTCAGTACACCCAAAGTTGGGAAGCATTACAAAGAAGCCCGAAATAAATGTATCGCTGCTATCCGCCGGTCTCGAATGGGCATCGAAACACGTCTTGTCCAGGCTGCATTGCAACATCCGAAGAGGTTATTTTCCTATTTGAATTATGTAAATTTGGCGAGGTAAACCCACCCACATCAAAGGGACAGAACATGACTGTTTGATTAAGGACGATGGGGAAAAAGCAGGAGCCATGACTGGATATTTCGCTGAGGTCTTCACACAGGAATCTTAAGTGGACACTTATCCAACAGGAGAAGCATTGACATCCAACAGAATAAACTCTGTGGATATCGATCGCAATGATGTATTTTGGATCCAAAATAATCTCGACGTGGAAAAATCAACTGGCCCAGATGAGCTGCACTCAGGGCTGCTCAGACAGCTTGCACTCTATGTAGCCGGCCCATTGACTACTAGAAAGCCATCATAGTTCACCTAGAGAGCAATGCTCTATTATCTCGTTCATAGCACCGTTTTCGTAGAAATTTCTCTTGCTTGACGAACCTCCTTAAAGTCAGAAAAAGGTGCGTTAAGTCTAGAGATGATAGGATACCCGTAAATGTCATTTTCATAGACTTTAGTAAGGCATTCAACAAGGTACCTCATTGCGGGTTGCTCAGGAAGCTGGAAAATTTTGGAATCACTACCAGTCTGCTCGTATGGATAAGAGAGTTTCTTGTTGGTAGGAGACAAAGAGTTAGGATCAATTCTCAACTTTCCACTTGGAAGTGGGTAGAGAATGGAGTGCCGCAAGGCACAGTCTCGGACGCCCTGCTGTTTCTCCTATGTGTAAATGAGCTGCCAAATATTACGAAATAACCTATGGTTCTCTTAGCTGTTAATGTAAATATCTGGCGAGAAATTAGGAACATTGAGGTTATACGTGCGCTTTAGGCAGACGTGAACAGCTTGTCTACCCGGTCAGAGAAGTGGCTGATGTCTATCGATGCAGGTAAACGCGTGAGCATGCACTTGGGGTACACATACACACGCAGTAACACCTTCGATATTGATAGGATTCCTTTGCCGTCAGCACTGACCCACAATGACCTGGCAGTCACAGTGAGTTGTAGCTTGAAAACTACTGCTCACTGTCATCTGGTAGCAGCTCGAAGTTCAAGGACTCTCTGGACATTACGCAGAACGTTTACGAAAGTGGTGACACGTTCACCATCCTATACACATCCTTAGTCAGGTCTAAATTAGAAAACTGTACACAGGCGACTAATTCTTGTCTGAAAGGTGACGCAGACCTTCTAGTAAGAGTTCAGAGTGCAGTCATTAGTATGATCCCTGGGATGGCTGGCCTCACCTATGAAGACGGACTTAAGGAGCTGAATCTCTTCACTTTATCCTACCGCAGACAGAGGACAGACCATCACCACTCTAAGAAATGACTTAAGACATGATCTATCTTCCTTTTTCCTTTCCCCTAGGCAGGAACACCTCAGAGAACACAGTAGTAGACTACAAAGGCAAAGAACGAACATAGTCTCGGCAGAGTTCTCGCGTCGAGTAATCAATGCCTGTAACCAACTCCTGGAATAAGTAGTGTCCGCATCATCGATTGACTCGTTCAAAAGGGGTTTGAACAGGCACAGAAATCTACTGGAAAAGGATTACTATAGGCTTACAGCCTCCTATCCCCAAACAATAAATCTGAATCTATCCACATTAAAGTAAATCTATCCCCATCGTTACACACCATATGGCATGCATAACCAAAGCCCTATTCTTTTTTCTAGGTTCCTTATGTTATTTGGGTCTATCAATCATGATTTTAGCTAAGTTTATGTGTTTTAACAGCCTAACTGACTCTTGTCGATTACTGTGACCTGTGTATTCAAGCCCACACTGATCACAATGTATTTCTAAAGTAAAACAATTTGCCTAACGAGATCAAGTAAATTCCCCTAACTAAGAAGCTTGTTATTAAGTGCGTTTGTTGGTTTAAATGCCTCCGTTATCCAACCATTGTTGCAAACAATCTGAAACACATCTGGATTACTTCCATAAGCGATGATACCACACAGGTTATAAAATCTGTGTTCACAACGTTGTCATAAGTAGTGAAAATAATGGCAATGGTAATAATAATAATAATAATAATAATAATAATAATAATGGTAGCAACAATAATAATGAAAATAACAGAGGGCTAATCCAGTCTGAATCTGAAATCTGTCTGGCGGTAGGTGTGAAATCCTAAAAAGCGTTCTTATGGGATTCCAAACATCAAATCTGTTAAGTGCAGTGCCAGTATCTTTCAGTGGCAACTTCATTTTTTTAGACTATAAGCAACCAACGAAAGTTATAAGAATGCGATCTGAGTGTAAGTTTCATGAAACAAAAAAACTGTAAGATACATCTTCCGTCATTATTTATCGATTTGGTGCAATTACAACCTATAACAAGGCTGTTAAATTTTGCTTTCTTCCATGTTGCGTTAAAGAAAGACAATATTTTAGGCGGATGCATTCCATGATTGTTTCCAACTGCGTTTTATTATCAAGCAGAAATGTGCAATGGTAGGAAATTCGGGTTATCCCGCAAATATGGGGTCACCTCCATAACACGCTGAAATATTTAAGACCCACATAATATACTAAATCCTTAATCAAACGCCTTAATATTGTTCTTTACTTTTTATATGCATGCATGTTACCAAGGTGACGGTTTATATTGAATCTCATGTGTGGATAGAGGGGAAGGAGGTAGTCTGTGTTTTTCACTTGAAAAACATCTGGTAACTATAGCTCATAAAGGTGTAAATACGGAGTAAACGACGGCTGGAAGCGGAGAGCGAGAAGAGTATAGGTAAGACGGTAAGGAAACAGTCATAAGAAAACTCACAATTGTCGCTTTATTTCAACACTTAACTTCCTATATTTTCCCATTTCTCTTCCACGTTTCCGCTTAACTTTCACACTTTTAATCAGCTTGAGTAGCTGATCGTGGGATGGGATCGAGTTTTGAGTCGTGCTGGATAAGAATGGAAAAATTTCAGTTATAATCTTCACTGTAATAACCTTTTGTTGGCATTCCAGGTTCCTGAATAAGCCATAAGAAAATCTATTTTTGTGTGTGTATGATACTCAGGAATACTAATAGCCATTGCTTGTACAACATCACCAGCTCACCTCATGTGGAGGATTTCATCAAAGTATTCAAACAAGCACTCAGCTTCTGATCTCATCACCTCCACCATATGGCATAAGCTATCGGATCCTCTTTTGTCACACGGGTTAAAAAGAACTGCCCAGCCACTCTTTCTTAGTTCATCATAAGATATATAAGCGGAAATTAATGGTATTCGTATATTATAATAGTTCTTTCGTACTATCTAGGTGGTAAACCCTGTTTTCATCGCTTTAAAGTTATTACATAACTCTTTGGATGAGCGTTTGTCTGATTGATCATTTAAGTGTGGATCGAAATAAAAATTATGGGTTAACATAAAATTTCCGTGGGATCACAGTGACCGGAGAAGTAATGAAAGTAATTTTAAGTCCTAAACTTAGAGCAGTTTCTAACTTTTCGAAATACCGCTCATGTTACCAACCTCACAGATGACCTACAAGAAAGTACAATTTCGATGTACAGGGTGAATTCTCTAACAAGTATGTTAACAAACGTTCTTTGAATAGCTTTATCCAACGGTTGAGAGAAGAAAAAAAGAGGACTTCGTCGAAAGAGTTACTTTATCTAAAATTACTATGCATTAGTAACTGTGTTTACAGACTTTACAAAGGCAAAAACAATCGTACTAAACGTGAGCCTGCGTTAGAACTTTATCTAGTACCGAACACGCACTCAAAAGACTCTAAAGCATTATCAGTTACCGTTTTATCACAGGCCACCTCCTGAGGCTAATCAAACCTTGATGGAGAGGTGGAGAGCAATAGTGAACAGAAATTCATGATTCCAAGCCGCCACTAAAACAGAAAAATGATCTGAAAATGCCTCCTGATCACCCTATTTGGTAGCATCGACATTTATTTGAATATTTTTACCATCCTTATGGATGGTGTGCCTTTGACCCCAGCCGGTGTAATGTTATTTGGTTGTTTGGCTGTCTTCTTTGACTTTGCACTCAGTATCTGCCTTTGTATAGTTGAGAGTCATCATGAATGTTTCACTTTCCTACCACGTGATTCCGGACTGTTAACTACATGACGTTGTTTCACTTCGCCTGACATTTTGTTTTGGTCCAACTTACGGTCGTACTGTGATTTGACTGTTTGTCTTTTGACTGTCTACTGGAAACGTTTATTTGCTGATTTGATTCTGGTAGACAGAGTTTTGATCCCTTTTAGTCGAGAATAATCTTATTGACTGTCAGGCACTTAACAATTGCGTATGTTTAACCAGTTTTTCCCACATAGTACGCATTTGCACCAGATAACGTTCGGATTGTATAGTTACCCAACGGCAATGTTGGGGTATTTTTGTAATTTCGATATAACTTGTTGCTGCTTTGATAGCACCACAGACTATGTTACGACTCTACCATTGACTTACTACAAACCATGTTTTGATATTTTGATCCAACCTTTGACTGTGCGTCACTCGTGGAAGTTCGGAAGAAATACAGTAGAACGCAGGAACTAGTCAGATTCATGTTACTTGGCACCGCCTAGCTAATTCCCGTGTTCCGTCCAAGATTATTGGATTTTACCTGTTACGGGGCCTTTTAGGTTTTGGTTTTGTCACCTCTCATATCTTCCACCCACATCACTGGTTGCCAGTCAAAGCGTCCCCTTAAACGCCCGCACTCAGTGACTACATAAATTTATGGGGAGAAATAAAAGACGACCGCAACGCAATGCAACTTAACGGCATCGATTTTGGCTGTTGCAGACACATCACACTGTCTTTTGCCAGAAGTTAGACAGATTCAGAACAACAGTGTAGTTGGAGAAACCTCTTGAGAATAGTGTGAATGTGGAACTAGAATTTTGCCCAGTGCTGACATTTTTGAAGGTAAGAAGCTGTGAATAACTTCACACCTCTCTAGACTGCTAACGCCAGTGGTCGAAAACTTCATGAACTGGTTCCACATCTCTTCTCCTTCATTCTATCATTTAATCTTATTGTACCTGAGCTGACTTTTCATGTTACGTTCGGTATTTGCTTGGCGCCCACAGCACACTTCTAGACCGCTTCAATTAGCGAAGTTCCACACCCTCACCAAATATCTTGCTACTTTTCCCTCGTACTCTGCATTTTACCATTTTCACACTGCAATCACACCGCATACAGTTAGTCCTTCTTACTAATTCCCTAAGTGTTCTTGGAAGACGAAGTTTGTTTGAATGATGTGGTGCACTTGTGAAGTTCATTTTGGGCATTCTTATTAGGCACCTGCTTGTCATTGCAATTTATACCAAACCGAATGATGGGAGGGCAAACAGAACAACTGAGATGATAGGGGACTAAAGATAGGATGGGTGGGGTGGTGACAGGGTTGATCTTAAACTTGGTTAGCGAAACTCAGTTTACCAGAGCATGCGTGGTTTAAGGGAAGATTGATGTCGCACATATAAAGGTGGTTTTAATCTTCATAAGGCTACTGCTCTCGCGAATCTCAATATGCCTCTGTGAATATTTCCGTGTAAACGTTTGAGGGCCGTTTGAACATCCATTTCTTTACTTGTTTCCACAGTTTAATTTGCTATGGATGGGGGTCATCCCTTACCTGCAGTAACCAAAGTGTCACACTTTATATACCATCGAAGAGACTTAGTTATATATTCCTCTACCGTCAATTTCAAGGCTGGATTACTCCACGCAGTAGTAAGTTTCAACACTGGGCAAACATACTTTCCCTACAACTGACGATGGGATTTTTCCCTCCAATTTACTTTAGTTATTTAAGTGCTTCCTTTTGACGTGCTACGTACTGTTGCAACTTTTTAAAATCATTTCAACACGCCGTTTCTAGCCGACAACAAAGCGAACAAAAAATTTCGTGCTACATGGCGGACCTTTTACTGCACAAAACCACTTCATACTTCAATCTCCCTGTTACTCAGCTTGACTTGCGGAGTCTTTTACTTGCTGAAATAATCACCGCCATTAAGCCCGGGCTCCCGTTCCTGTTGATTCTTTATTCCAGGCCGGATGCTAATCCCAAACCAGCCGGCCCATTCCCATTATTGCCTTGGATACTGTGATCATTGATAATGTTCGGGAGTGATAACCGTTTTGCCCGAGGGTATGGCCCCGGAAGCAACTTTGTTGAAAGATCATATGCTGAGGATATCATATGAACAGCTTGGAACAAAGTGGTTGTTATTTCTATCAACAAGCATTTTTAGCCAACACATGGGAAGCACAGTGGAACGTGACGCAATAATAACTCTCATAACTCCACGATAGCAAACGTTGCCCCCAGTATCTATCTTCCCACTTTCGAGACCCGGCTCGTAAGTCCCCTCACCAGTGTAAAGGTATAGTTTGCGAATATGTTGAGGCTGGTGGACTGGGAGACATGAAGTGTTGTTGCCCACCGGTCTGGAATATTGATCAATCGCTGTAGTACAGTCATGACATGTTTTGAATCTTAGCCTCAAATTGGTCTCGTTGGGCACCATATATAAATCCCTCCATAGTCTGAGCCCCAAACGAAGAAACAATTTTGGCATTAAGCTGCCCAAAATACCTGTCAATATTGCAAGTGACACCTAGGCAAATATGGAGTACTGCTAACGAAAGCCTCACGATCATGTAAGAATACAGTGTCAAAACTTCTTTCCACCGGGCTGCTTTCATCACAGTCACCTAATCCAAATATCAGGGGAAGCGATGCGACATGGATGGATCTAACAACCATAGGAATTGAAAGTTCATCCATCTTAGTAAGGTCAATTTGAAACGAGTCAAGTTTCCCAGCAGACAGAATAGGGAGTTATTTTTTTATCTTTTGCACAACGTGAAACCCAAGATTACAGGGAGTTCATAAGAAACTTGTTGGTGCGTAACTTGTATACTAACCGAAAGAGGAAACTTCCTAGTCACCAGCTGTGGGTCACTTGGCAAGAGCAAGCCGTTACTCCACATATCGGTATTTGAGTGGAGCGCGCCATCGGTAATTATGTTGAACGAAGACACAGCTGACTTGAAGCGAAAGAATAACTCACAGGGTCCTCATGGAGAAGTCTTCACAAAATCATTCCAAGCAAAGCTTTGACGTGTGTTTTGTAGCCAACTACTTAGGTTTGCAGTGATCGCACTTTTGTGTGAAAATTCAGCCGGCCATCGAAGAATTTTGCTTCTTCTTAGATAATCGCGATGCCCAAGATAGCATCAACCACCTGTGCTTTTTTTCGCTAGAGAACCGTTGCGGTAACAAGGTATACGCAGTAGAGTTTTTTCGAAAACCGGTTCATACGCGCGTTACCTGAAATGCTACAAAGCACGACCTTATGCTATTAAAAAAATATTTTAATCTTTGCACAACCAGACTGTTTGCTACATTCCACTTTCAAGGTTTTCAAACATTTAGATGACTTGGATACGGATACATGTGGGGCTACCAAGCCAGAACTATTTTGGATGAAACGACTCAGAATTAACCCCACGCACCCATCCGATTTGTAACGCAAGTTAAATTTTCCGACCATTTATGAATTTCATTCCAAACGGAACAATTCCTTCGATCTGTGCAATCATATCTACAGTGTCACATAGAAGCCTTTGTATCCAGTCTCCATGCGAATTTTTCCATCACTAGGCTTTCTCAGCCTTCGAACAGGCTTCTTATTGAAGTGAAGGGTACCAAATCAGTCCCTCAACTCATTTGGTTGGTAATTAAATTCCTACCATCTGGCAGCTTCTCCGGTGTCATCAGTTTTTCCCACGACACGAGAGAGATTTTTCTTCTCTTCTTTATCTGCTGGTTTACGCCTCTTTCTCACTTCGAGCTGACGCTTCAGCCTGCAAAGTCGGGATGATAATAAATCAAATTAAACTCTTGAAGCTAAGAACAGTTGTAGTGACTACCTGCTACTGATCAGAGAGTGCCATTTCACTCACAACAGAAGGCTGCAACGTCCAGGAAACGATCGATATCACCCGAATGACAGGCTTTTTATTGACAAAATCTGGGATATATTTTGAAAGTCAACAGGAAAGTCTGGAATTAACCAGCCGAGAGGGTGCCCTTAGCAGCGAAAACGGACAACAAGTCATACTGGATGACAACTCAATGCGTCCACATAAACCAAACACATTGATGCTGACGTTAAAAACGTAAATATTCATCCCGCAATCCAAAAAGGCGGCAAGATAAACAGTGATTAACATGTAATGATAAAAGAATGGCTGAAATTCATAGTTTCGCTCCCCTTGGGAGTCAGCAAAACAACGACTCACTTGGTAGCTTCTCATCATTTTTTACAACCAAGGTGTAATAACCGTACCGGCTGAAAAATTAGATTTAAGCAATATTTTTCCCTACACAATACATGCGGTTCCCGATTTTATACCCCGGTTCATTCCATTTTTATTAAGACGGCCCTCCCATATATTCATCATGTTATCACACAAACTCCTATTCTGCAGCGAATA